TTTTTATAGACCAAAAATCGATTTTTCTCTGCTAAATTCGTTTTCTGCAGCAGCTCGAAAGTATAATCGATTTATTCATGAAAAATTGATTTTGCATCGTCTCCTACCTCGAGCCAACTTACGGAAATGTCATTTTTAGTCACCAAACTTCAATTAAAGTATATAGAAATGTTTTTCAAGATTCATAGATCATTTTGGTAACATTAGTTCATAGTTTTAACAACAATTTCAAGGTTTATGATTCTTGGTTTTTCAAACATGTCAAACACAAAACTCAACCAAACGACTGTTTATGAACGTAGAAACGATCTATATGAACATTCTAGTCATTAGATATATCCATGGGCTTACCTCGAGCTTAAATGGAGGTTTTGGAAATTTTCCGGCGAAACTTCCGGCGACGATTATTCCCAACTCCAGCGACCTCTCACCAAAATAATGGAACCGCTGTACTCCTAGGATGAAGAATTGTGGAGAATGGTGAAGAAATGAGGGAATTGACGTGGGCTTATATAGTGGTTGTGGTGAGGAAGAAGCTAGGATGTCTCCTTCACAATCTGTGCGATCGGCGTAGTGCGCAGGATGGCGATTCTAATTGATCTACACGTTGTTCCCTGATTGGGACCAATTTTGGTTCTAGTCGGGGTACACTTTTTGGTCCAACTTTCTCTGAATTAAAATCTGTTTGCACCATTGCGATCAGACAGTCGAATTCTATACAATGACATACTTTTCATAATTATTTGTAATACTTTTTCTGACATCATATTTTTGGGTGTTTGACTTTGACAGAGCCAAAATTGGTTTATTTGACCTTTATTCAAAGAGGTTTTCACATTTAATTCATATCATTTGTTCTCATGATTTATTTCAATAAATCATTTTAAAGTTCACATCAGAAGTAATTTCTTCATTTATTCTTGATTTGGGTCTGTACTCAGGTTCCCAATCAAAACCACACAATAGTCAACATATTGGATTTATCTCTTATGAGAATTATCCAGATTTTGATATTCGATATTAAAACATATTTCATTTTGGCCCAAAGCCCAACAACAAATTATTTTTAATCAAAACAAATTTGATTAATTGATTATTTATTCATTAATAATTCTAGGGTATGTTTTGGGGCGTTACACAGTGTGGGGGTGTGGGGGTGTGGCGGTGGAGGGAGGCAGTGGTGGTGGCATGGGGAGGCAGTGTGGCAGCAGAAGAATGAAGTGTGGTAACCAAAATATAATCAGTATATTCTTAAAATATCAGAAAAAGGGTATAATGAGAATATTAAATAGATGTCACACTAGATACTGTTATTTATGTACAAAAACACAAAGGAGAGGTAGATAGATAACTTTGCTTACTTTATAGTGCTATGTAAGAACATCTCCCTGAAAGAAAAAAATAAAATTCATCCATTACGCCCATTTGAAAGAAAGTAAATCGAACTTAAATCACACATAAATAACAAAGAATGGAACTCGCACATGATATTTACAACAGTTATATGCTTAGCAAAGGACTGGACACGACTCCAATTCAGAACTGGTATTAGAATTGCTAGAGTACCAGAAATGAAGGAAAATTTTTGTGTTCCTGTTCTTAATATTTGGTAACCAAAACTATAACAAAACCGAGACCAATTAAATTTTTTTATGTTTCTATATTTTTTATGCTTATTCTTAATATGTTTGAGGTTGGTTCACAATATTTACTATAAAAAAGAGTCAATTATATAATATTTTATTTTTCAAAAATTTATTTGAAAAAATTACTTAGAACTGCGTCAAAATTGGAACAGAACTGGAACCGCCCTACCTGATCAGGTTCAGGTTCTACCGGCATTGCCGATTCCAAAACCAGATCGAACCGATCCCATGTTTAGTCCTAGCTTGAACTCCGATATTAGAGCACTGGAAATACACGTGAACCCCCGGGGCTTCAAAATTTCTCTCTCTGCCACGTCAGCTTTAACTTACCTCACAGATTCAGTGGAAATGGGTTTGAAGCCCCGGGGCTTCAAACTGGGGCTTCAAACCTTCATTTTTAACATTTTAAAATATACATCTTCTAAAACTAAATTAATAAAATTTAATTAATTTATTATTTAATTATATTGAAACACGAATAATAAAAAAAATACATTCATTAAATTTAAAGAAATTGAAACGACAATAATTTAAAAAAATTACATTCATTAAATTAAAAAAAGAAAACGACAATAATAAAAAAGATACATTAATAAAAAAAACTAAAGTAATTATATTTGGCCTTGATCTCTTTTTGTCTTCTCTCGAAGATCATCCGTTTGAACCCCGATAACGTAGAAATGTCGGTTTCCATGATTTTGATCTCGTCTTCCTCCTCGTTTCGCCTCATCCTCTCTTCTTCTCGAATATTGAACACACGAAGTTGTTCAACCATTGCCCGACCGATATCCTCGCAAGAAGAAACGGAAATAGAGTCGGAGCCTCTAGAACCCGAGGCAATGGATTTTGCCTTTTTTCTTCCGATCGGCCGTGGAATGAGGTCCTCGTCATCGGAATCCGCAACGTTGAAGGGAGGCATTTGTTCGGACGAATCGATAGTGTCGTCGACCTCAACCTCGGCGTCAACGGAGGATCTTTTCTTTGACGATCATCCGTCGGGATTGTTGAGTTGTTGCCACTTCGGGGAATGGCTCAAAATCCTCCAAAGATCGATGGGCACCTTGCCTTGGTGCCCGTCATCTTCATACCGGGTCATGGCAAGCCGGAGAACATCGACGTCGTGTTGGACAATATGCTATCATGAATATATATTTTTGCAATGTCCTTTGCCCATTGTCTTTTAGGTTTTGATAATGACAAAAGGGTGACAAAACATCATCATCATATTGTGCATCAAGGCTAAGAATCAAAGCTACAACAAGTTCATATCCGTCCGTGAAGAAGGGACTTGAGCATCGGTGGAAGGAACGAGACCGAAGAGGTTGTTTCCTTAGTTGGGTAGTGTTTTAGGTCTGAGATTTTGTGTTAAAGAGTATGACATCTCTAAGGTTCATTCCCTTATCATCCTACCTTTAAAACACATTTTTCAGCAAACTATTCGAATAAGTTGAAAACTATTCGAATAAATCCCTGAACTTCTATTCTGACTTAGTTGAATAAATCCAGAACTAGTTGAATAAGTCAGATTACAGTTTCACCAAAACTAGTCGACTAAGTCTTGACTTAGTCGAATAGTTCGACAGTTTCAACTCTTAAACGGCCATTTTTTTCAAATCTTTGGGTAGTTACTCCGTCCTATCCTTATTTAAACTACCCTATCTCGTGTTTTTGGCCAAGAATATACATTGAAAACACTTCAAAAACATATCCTTTGAATATCCAAAGAGATTCTACTCAATCCCTCCTTATATCTAAGCAAGGCAATTGTTTTGATTGCTAAATCATCCTTGCTTGAGTTTTTCCTCATTGCTTGAGTCTTTGAGAGATATTGTCATATTCTAAAGGACTTCATTGTATTTGCAACAATCTACTTCGTGTTGGGAGAATTACTCGGTTGCAGTTTGTTTTCTTACTTTATTGTAAGGGATTTGCATTCTTGGTGTTGGGATTACACCATGTGGTAGAAATCCTAACGGTTTGTGAAATCAAGCGTTAGGTGGAAGAAATCCTGAGTTTGTGAAATCAAAACTTCGGTGGTAAGATAAGAGGCTTGTGAAATCAAGTTCTCGAGTTGTATTCGGATTGTCAAACTCCGTTAAATTTGACGGGTTAGTGAAGGCCTGGGCACGATTGCTTCGGGGACTGGATGTAGGCATTTAGGCCGAACCAGTATATATCGTGTGTGCATTGCTCTTATCCTTCACTTTATTTTGTTTGTGGTGCATTGTTTTTATTGAATATTCGTGAAGAACGTTTGCGCGCAAAAAACTGGTCTTTTGGGCAACACCTCTATTCACCCCCCCTCTAGAGGTGTGCGAGGCGTCTAACACGTCGTTCGTCCCGCTCCTCCGGGACTGGGCGCATTCCTCGTAAACTCCGATAAACTTTCGGACTTTACGGTTGATGTCGCTCCATTTGGAAGTGAGTTGGTCCCGGGTACGGTAGGTTCCGTCCTTGTTCATCGCCATGAAGAACTTCTCCTCGATACGATCCCACATCGCATCCTTCGTTTGCTCCGAACCTTTAAAAAAGTATAACACAAATTTTTTTTATGACACGATTATATATAATTTTATATAAATAAAAACATAAATATATTAGAAAACATATAATTTTTACCAATGATACGATGCTCAGAGACGTCAACCCAAGCCGACACCAATAAGCACTCTTCCTTCGGCGTCCAGTTTTGGATTGACCGTGCCGCCTCGGTCATTGTGCCTTTCGCTTTGTGGCTCTTCCGGCGTGTACTTTTTTGGGTGTCGGATGGTCCCGGTTGAATCTCCGGAACCGAATCTCGCTTGACGTACCCCGATTGTTGCGTCTCGAACATTAGCGGATGATTCCCGTAATGTTGGAAATACCACATCGCGGACTCGTGAGGCTCGAGATCGTCGGGGATGAAGCCGGAGCCGGAAGGATTCATGTTTAAAATAGAGTTGGAAAATTAGAGAATTGAAGAATATGTGAAGAAGATTGAAGCTGTGAGAATGGGAGGGGGAGAAGTTTGAAATTTATAAAAAAGAAAAATTTAATTTTTTTTGTTTCAACGGCTATAATAGCTGTTAGGGTGAGGGAATTCAGCGTCATTCGTTTGACGCGTGAACGATGACGCCGGGATGAAGCCGCATGGGGCGGTGTTTAACGCCCCTGGGCGTGAAAAGCTCCATAATGTCGGTCGGCGTTAGGAGTATACCCAATGCCCTTGTTAAAAAGAAAAATATTAGGAATACCCAAATGTACATGTTCAACCACTCAAGGCGCACCCAGTTTTTGGGTCTCTATCATGCGCATAGAGTCGCAGCTGCTTACTGCACTCTGCAGTAGAGTCATTTACGCCTTCTGTCGTCGTCTATCTCCCTGCATTTTCACTGTTCTCTCTCGGATCCAAACCCCCCCCACCAGTTGCTTGATTAAGTATGATCACAAGATCAAGTTGTGGGTAGTACCATATCCATCCTCCGTCCTGACACTAGATCTCGTTTTTCTTCTTTTCAAAGATCGGACACTAACTGCCGTGCAGATAAATGGTTTGCGTTGTAATCCGGCGGCGCGTGCTTGTCATGGCGGTGCTTCTGACTTGCGCCGCCTTGCCGCGTCCGGCGGCGCCGCATCCGAACGACGAGCAGTGCTTGACCCATCTGAGCAGGACGTTGCAGGATCCGATGAAGAATCTGCAGAATTGGACCGGAGAGACGTTCGCCAACCCTTGCCAAGACTTCACGTCGTACCTGCAAGGCGCCACCTGCGACAATGGCCGCATCTACAAGCTCTCGCTCCCCAATCTCTCTCTGAAAGGCTCCATTTCGCCCTACCTCTCCAATTGCACGAATCTCCAGGCTTTGGATCTCTCATCCAACTCCCTCACCGGCTCAATTCCGCCGGAGATCCACTCCCTGGTGAACCTCGCCGTCATCAACCTCTCCTCGAACAGCCTCTCCGGTCCGATCCCGCAGAAGCTCGCCCTCTGCGCTTACCTCAACATCGTCGATCTCCACGACAACTACCTCTCCGGCGCCATTCCTCCGGAATTCGGCTTTTTAGCGCGGCTCTCCGCCTTTGACGTCGCGAACAACAGATTATCCGGGGAGATCCCGGCGTCGCTGGCTTACCGGAGCGGGAAATTGCACAGAATCAATGCGAGCTCGTATGAGGGGAACAAGGGGCTTTACGGGTACCCGTTACCGTCCAGGAAGAGAAATGGGCTATCCGTTTTAACTATCGTGGGTATCGGGTTGGGTAGTGGGCTCTTGAGCTTGTTGGTTAGCTTTAGCGCTGTTTGTATGTGGCTGAGAGCTAGCGAAAGTAGAACGGCTTCCGATGATGGGAAAGTTGATGATTAATTAATGGAATGGTTTCTCACATTTTTTATGTACTCCTTTTGTCTCTAAATATTTTGTCAATTGTATTTTCGAGGTAAAATAACAAATTTTTTCAATTCATTTTATTTATATATTGTTATAGAAATAAAAAATAAAATTTACTTATAAAAAAACTTAATGAAAACGTAGAAATAAACAAAAGTTTCCGCGACTGCTGACAAAGCAAGTGTGGCAAATATTTTGAGGCCTCGTTTGGTACATGGAATTCAAACCATGGAATTGGAATTGAAGACTTCAATTCCAATTCTGGTGTTTGGTAGCACAAAAATTATGTGGATTTGGAATTGATAATGCAAAAAATGAATTGAAATTGGCAGAATTCAATTCTATGGAATTGAATCTCACGGAATTTTAATTCCAATTCAATTCCAATTCCTTATACCAAACGGACCGTGAGAGTACTTTTTCTTCTAGATTTACAGGGTGCAAATCAGGTGTCCTTGCCCTATCCATTTGGCTTGGCAATGAGTTTGTTGACCGCAGTGCGAGGCCCAAGCCTCAATCATAAGCGCCACATACTCGGGCAAATGGGAGTAACTGTTGAAAAAGACCTTACCCTTGACAGCCTTGCTTTTGAGGACTTGTTGGCTGAAGCAGGAAGGTCTAAGTGCTAAACACATGTGCAAAAGTGATATTTCAACAGGAAAACGGGGCGTCAAGCAGGTAGCAATTGAGGTATTGCTGCATCTTCGTTAGCATTATCCATTTCAGATTCATATGTTGCTTGCCACAACTCAGTCCCTATAAAATGCTAGAGTTCACTTCATTTGATCCTTATTTCGAATCCGAGTTCACTAATAGGTTATATTTTGATGTGCTCAATGCTATCTCTCTATCACAAACCACCAACACCCAACCACTCTTTCAGTTGTTCAACTCAAATTCAGGTTATGTTTTTGATCTCGTCTTCTTTTTTACCTTTAGCCTAGGATGTCACCCAATAACACCTATGATTTCCTCAGCGAGGACTCTTAGTAGGTTAGTTTTGCTTCCCACGGGGTCAACTTAACGACCATAGTGCATCGTGTGAGTTGTTGGGATTCCTCCAAGTCCCACACCGGATGTTTAGGAGTAATTGAACCAAAATATATAGGTTCACCCAACCCCATTAGTACGAGGCCTTTTGGGAAGTGCTCAAAAACAAATCCGTTTGGGCTTGACCCCGAGCTGACAATATCATAGGGAGAAGACAAAAATAGCACTAAAATAATGATGTAATACACAAATAGCAGTGCTATTATAAAATGAAACGCCAAGTGTCGAGAGGTGTATGTAATACCTTTTTTTTACCCTGAGGACAATATGTACTGAAATTTTGAATTGGGCTTAATTCACGGTAATTAAAGCTTGGATTTTGCAAAATCCCCTTCTAATTCTTCATTTTTTTAGCACTAAAATTTCGGTGGAACTGTATTTGCAGATCTGCACTTACTAATATACAAAAAATCCTAATCTGTCGTCGAGGCAGAGAGATTGTGCACTACGTGTAATTCTAGAGAGGAGATGCAGTGTCAGGGTTGCAATGTTGAGCAAAAGGTTGGAGAAGATCCGAGTGTAGTTTTTACTTTTTTGAATATTTTTTTCAATAAGATGAAATAAATTATTGTAGTATTTACACTGTTAGTTTGTCTCATTTGATTTTCAAATGTTGATTATGAGTTTGCTTTTACTTAATGGATCTGGATGTACGAAGCATGAAAAATAAGGCATTTGATTGTTTTTTTAAAAGTTCTAATTATGGTGTAGTGATTTTTTTTATTGGAAGTGTGAAGCATGTGTTTATTACTGAATTACAGTTGAAGATTGGTTCTGCATATTCAAAAAACTTTTGGAATTGTAACAACAAAATTAATTTATTTCTCTGTAGCATAGTGTTTAAATATCCAATAAGGGATCATGATAGTGTTTATGAATTAGGCTTGTTTTTTTGTGGGAATGTGGTTTTTTTTCTTATTACTCCCTCCGTCCATGTAAGATCTTCTCATTACGCGTTACGAGGCTTGACCTTCTTTATTTTCAATTCAATTTAATTGATTATAGGAGTAAAATTTTAAAATAAAATTTATATAGTAATAAACTACATGAAAAGTTCTACAAAACTAGAGGTGACAAGACTATATTATTTTATGAAATGACTAGTAAAAATGAGCAAACAAAGTGAGTAAAGTTTGACCCTGAATAGTGTCAGGGAAGATCTATGGTGGACAGAGGGAGTATTATTTTAAATGGAATTGTGAACTAAGACACTTTGCTTTGTGAATTAAAATGTTGGTATGTTGTTGGAATGGTAGTTTGTTTTTTAAAACGATAGAAGTGTTGTTATTTTATTGCAGTGTGTACCCAAATTGATGAAAAGTAGGTGTTGCATTGTGGTTGTCATTGAAGAATGTTGGTGGTGAAGTTTGCTGAGTTCCTAATGATGGACAGAGATGTAGTTGAAGTCCAACCCCATGGCATGGAAGGATACCGGGCTGAAATGAGTATGAAGCTATTAGCTTATACTAAGAAAGGGGGAAAGGAGCTCCACCAAGTCTAGATGGAGGAAATGATAATTTTTAATTGGAAAACATAAGACATTGTGTCATCTTGGGGTAGTTTATATGTCCTCTTTTAAATTGGTGGGTATAACAATGATGTAGTTTTTTTGGTAGCCAACATTGCAAAGTCTTCTGTGTGTATTACACTTTGTTGATCTAAATCGTGTCTATTATTAAGTTTTTTTGTTTGGGTGGAAAGATGTTGTCTCATGTGTTGCTCAATTAACGGTGCTAAACCCATGATAGAAATGTATACACACTGTTAAATCCGACAGTGCAGTAGCGCAATACATCCATTTTTCATAACTAAAGTTTGAATATATACTGCTCTTTGGGTTTATACACTGTCATATTAATGTTAAACACTTCCAAATGGTTCAGTAATTTTGGATGTTTTATGAAACTATACACGGCAGTAGCACAAAGATGTTATATACATTTTATACCGCGTATATAATTCCTTTACACAAGTTTTTTCTGAATATACACATTCATTATTACTGTGTTTCTTTCTGTTGCCTAATGGACAATGATAGCATATGGACTAAGTTCGTTGGTTGTACACTACCAATTGAAGTAGTTTAAAGGTTGCATTCATTAATAGTCAAAGATACTCTGCCAATGCCACTTTACTATGTTAGCACAATGATACACATGTATACACACTACCTAAGTAGGCAATGGTTTTTATGTTAACATAATGCCCAATTAGGCAGTGTTTCTTGGTCACTCGTTGCTAGTGCTTCTTTGATGGCAGATCATATGAATTGTGATCATTACACACTTTTTAAAATACCTTATTTGGCAGTGTATAAACAAGAACTAGATGGAAGTTCATATATAACCTAATCGTTGTGGCACTTTAAAATGGAATTAAAATTTAAAATTGTCATTGCCCAGCACTTTTGTAGTTGGTAGTGTAAATATAACCCGATAATGTGAGCATTTAATCCTTGTGGTAGTGTAAACACAAGAAGCAAGTGGATAAAACTTAATCCTTGTGGTAGTTTAAGATGGAAGTGAACCTCATTTCCAAGCACTCCCTCAGTTGGCAGTTTATTATAATAATAATTAAAAAAGCTCATTTGGCAGTGTATATACAAACACTACTGCATAATAAAACATTGTACATTCAAACACACACAAAAGCCAAAGTAAAATCCTTGTCAGATCATCTTCAAAAGCATACCATAACATGGCACGATTATGTTGTAGATGTATGTCATTATTAGTAATAATTTAGAATGCCCAATATTACAATGTCAGGCCTTTGCAGTGTGTATATATATTTCATTATTTAACTGATCACTTTCAAATTTCAATTGACAAACATAGGAGGCTACATACTATCGATGCATCAGCCATTCAAATACTCTTAGAAGGGCAATGCATAATGTTTAATTTTGCCATTCGCATCGTGTTCACAATTCATGGAATTAACCGCACGTGTTACCAACTTTCGAAATATTTCTGGCTATTCCTTAATTCACCTTAACACTTTCATTTAAAGAAATCCTTAATACTACTAAAAATCATATCTAAGGAGTCAAACATGTAAGAGAGTGAAAATATGTGCTACCAATTCAAACACCCACATATTTCCTACTCCAAAAAAACAAAAACAAATGAACAAATGAGATGTACTATATAAATTTAGAAACAGGATCTGACGAGCAGAGTGTGTTGTTTTGTTCTTGGCAGAGGACATAGTGGTACTCGCAGACATCTTTCTCCCATTTATCACGCCGGGTTACTGGTCTTGCTGTTTTTCGGACGATTTCATCACTGGTTGTGGCTCAACCTTCATTCTCACCAGCATCATTCAGCACAAAAAAGAACCTGTTGTGTAAGTTGACTGCATAGATTTGAAACATATCAATGCCATAAGTACTATTTATTGATGGCTTCCTAGTTAATATCTACTCTTGGCTGTGATCTAAATTTTTCTGCTCTATGTTGGCCATTATAATGGTTTGTATTCATTTTTATGGTTTTGGATGCTTCCTAGTACATGCCAGGTGATGAGAGAAATCCACTTCAAAAGTATCAGGTAATGGTTTTGCGATGAAGCTTTGTTGGTGATGAACATGATTACACAGAGCATCCCGTATCCATATTGAAGGCATAAGTCACATTTTTATACTGCAAATCTTGTGCCTTGCCTTGTACTCTGTAGCTTCACACTTCCATTTAATTACACCCTACTTTTATTTTCTTATTCCGATGCATCACAATTCCATTAGAGTAATATGACTCACAATGCTAATGTATACATCTCAATATATAAATCGATGGGAAAAAAATTAATTGTATCCACTATGAGGTATGACTAAGAATGCATTAATAATACATCTCGACAAGCCTAAAGCCAAAACATCATCGTATAAATCAGAATATTGCTTGTTGCAAATTAAAATGGTAAAAGAAGAAACAAATTACGAATGAGTGGAAGGAATTATTGACAAAACGTGATGTCAAATTGAGCGGAAAACGAATGGCCATAGGAGTTAATTAGCAGAGACGCACACGCAGATTTGTAGATGATGAGTGGATTCTTCGAAAAAAAAGAGCAGCACACACAGACGATGAGATGGAACGAGGATGTAACCGCTAGAATAACTTAAGTCCTAAATCAAGGACCTCAATATATATGGTAAATAAAATCATTATAAATTTGCAAACTAAGGAAAAAAGGGTAGATTAGGAATTTTAACAAAGGGTGCCACGCTGGATAGTGCCATACAAGTAAAAAATGGCATGGGACTGCTATATAGGTAATTTTGTTATCCTAATGGTGCTATCAATGATGATTTCTTAATATCATGCTAATGCGGGGTTGGGGTGAGGGCACGCGCAGTTCCAACATGTGGTATCAGAGCTCAGGTTCTTGTGGGCGGGAGTAGCGGACTGTGCAGTGTGGAAAAATCTCGGTGTGACGGTGTAACTAGGACCAAGACTAAGAAAGACGATCTGCAGGTGGTGCCTTGTGTCGAAAGTCTTCCCGACGAGAGGAGGTCGGGCGGCGCGTCCCGTGAAGTTATAGTAACGGCGGTACAAGATGATTTGGCGGATCAAATGGTGTAGCCCAGCGAAGGAAAGATCTGCGGTTCGAGCCTTGCGTCGAAAGTCTTCCCGACAGAGGTCGGACGGCGTGTCCCAACCCGACTTTATGGAGGAGTTTTCCCACATGAAAATGGAGATGGCGATGGAGATGGAGGAGGGGCGGGATTTGCAGGAGCTTGTTGAGTGTTATATTAGAATTGAAGAACAATATACTACCTCCGTTTTTTAAAAGAGTTCTTCTTTTGACTTTGAGGGAAAATAAGGAAGTGTTAAATTGTAGTTGACTTTCCAATTTTGCCCTTGATGTGATGGGTAAAAGTAAAATGTGATAGTTTAGTTGTTAGTGAAAAAGTATGATGTGATAGGTAGGGTATGAAAAAGTAGGGTAAAAGTGGTTTTTTAATAGAAAGAGGAAGTGTTTTAAGAAAAACAAAAAAATGAAAGAGGAAGAGTTTTAAGAAACGGAGGGAGTATTAAACTTAAGTTTTATGGTTATGTAAGTGGAGTTAGATTTGATTGTTATGTTGAATTTTTATAAATATTACTTGAAATTTAGTTGTACATTGGTGACTTGAATATTCTTGGTTGTTTGGTAATCTTCATTTCCAGTAATTGTTGTTGTTTGATGCTGGGATTTCTGAGCTTTGCTATGGATGTGTGCAAAATTGAAAAACAACAGCTTCCTGGTACAACCTGTCAAATTGGAGACGGAATTGCATTTCCGTCGCTATATGGTCAAAATGAATATTCCGTCGCTATTTCCATCGTCAGAATTAGCGACGGAAATTTTCCGTCGTGAGTTCCGTCGCCAATTTCGTCGTAGACTAGCGACGGAATCAATAATCCGTCGTTACATTTACTACTAACGAAAAATTAACGACGGAACACATTCTGTCGTTATTTCCGTCGTTATGGAGATTACCTACGGAAATAAGGGTTTGGCGACGAAATAATTCCGTCGCCATTTCAGCAGTTTTTTGTAGTGAAAATGCCTATGTTTGAAAGGCTTTGCGTCTCCTCAATAGCGATCAAGCCCACTTCAACAAGGAAGGTTTGAATGAAAGGCTTTACCTCTCCTGTAAATAGTTATAATGGGACAATACCAAAATCAAATGCAAGCCTAATTGATTTGTCATGAAAAACATGGATCCAAGGTGCTAGCTACCATTTATTTACATGATTAGTTTCGATGAATTAATTAAGATTGGGTACCCTAATTTAAATCATACTTCCATTCTCACCCCACCCTTCTCATAAATATTCACTCACCAAACACAATCAGTATCTGTGTGAATGTTTATGAGAAGGTACCTGGACTCAGAACTAGTCAGAATCTAGATAATGTTATCCGTCCATGCGGCAAAAAAAGGCCTCCTGAGAAGGGCAGCGGACTCGTCCACCACCCCTTGCTGATACACAGCCAGCTGCCAGTCGGCGGCCATCTGAGTCGGAGAAGATGGCACTAAGTTTTCCTCCACCTCCAACCGCCGGCTATTTGTTTCGGCCGTGATCCCGTCGGGGGAGTTTTTGTTCGGACGCCTGGCCTGGTCCCGGGCAAGGAGATTGTTGCTAGCCATGATGCGCTCGATGTCGTACGTTGAACTGTCGAAATTGGTGACGGCATTTGCGCCTCTGAACTTAATCGCTGCTATGTCATATGCCTCAGCGGCTTCCTCTTGAGTGCCTGCGATTAATTGCATCCACGCCAGTTTAGTTGATCAAGTACGTACATACAAAACCAGGTTTGAGCGTTAAAAAAATGGAACACAATAAATGCATAATTATACTATATATTTATATATGGGTGTTGGGAATGGAACCCACCGAATGTTCCTAGATAAAGGTCCTTGTTTCCCGCCACTCGTCCGATTCTAGCTTGCCATCTTCCATGCTGATGATGCCTGCTAATAATAGTAAGAAAATATTGAAAACCCATGGTTACATTTTATTTAAAGATGCATTTTGTCAAGAAACTTAACATTTTATTAGACATCAATTAATGTGAAATAGGAGAGTTTTTAAAAGAACACAAATGTTATGTGTATTATTCCAAAATTTGTACATCTCTTTTCTTTTTATATCCTTCTATTTGTTGTATGTTTCGTTGATCATTTGATAAAACATAATATTTTTTTCATTCTCTTATTTCGTAAGATTTTTTACGTAGTTTTTTTATTTATAATCTGTACTTTTCTTTTACTCTAATTTGTAAACAAAATAGTTTTAAAGGAGATGGGTTTTGCACGCTAAAGAGGGTATATATGAAACTATGAAAGAAAAAGGTAAAAACTTTTTTTTTATAGCGGACTAAAAAGAAAATTGCACGTTAAGTATATGAGTGAGGCATGCGAGAGGGAATATAGAGAAAGACCTTGTCACTCCCCTATAGATTGATGCTCCCCTTGAGAACCCACTGCTCTTTCTGAGAAAATTATACATAAAAAAAACAAAGAAAAATTAGGAAAAAGAAAAAGAATCTAGTAAGAAAAAAGAAGCCAAGTAGCTATACATAGTAATTAACTTGCCTTCTTAAGTGAGCAACATATTCTTGCCTACTCATGCTCTTCATTCCTTCAATCTCTTGATGATAATTCTCAAGCTTTGTTCCAAAAAAACACACATTTTGACAAATTATAGAGAATTTCATAACATATCACTAATTTAAGGCGTAATCAAATCCAAGAACCGAGAATTTTAATTATGAAACACGCTAACGTAATATTTGTAAACACATTTGTAATATAAACTATAAAGAAATTCACTTCCTGACCGAACACTATTTTGATAGGAAAATGTTAGGGTGCCACCACATGTGTGCTACCATGGGTGCACCCATGCTTCGCACAGATAAACACAGACGATAATTGTCTGTGCGAAGCATGGGAGCACCCATGGTAACACCCATGTGGTGACACCCTATCATGGTCCATTTGGATATTCTATATCACTTACACAATTATTACAAAACACGCTCGCTATCATATTTTATACTCCCTCCGTCTCATTACGTCCTTCCCTTTACAAAAAAATTGCGTCCCACAATCTCATTCTCATTTCTATTATAAAACTAATTTTACCCCTTACTTTTTCAAACCCATTTCTATTACATCCTACTTTTACCCATCACATTAAGGGCATTTTTGAAAAGTCAACACAAAATTATCCATCCTTTAATTCCCACTTTAGTCAAAAACTTCCCTATCTTTATGAGACAGAGGGAATATAATTACTCATCCAATAATAACAACACCATATGCAAAAGACCTTGTAGACCAATGACATCGCTATGACTCTCCCAAATGAGAAGTCACGTGTTTGATTCCCAGCGCGGGTAGTAACTCTACGAACTTTATTAATAGGTTGAAAATGTATGAACATATATTAAATTCTAATAGAGCTATTTGTGTATGAAAAAAACAACATATTATGAGAACATATGAGAGTCCTACGCTATTGGGTCTCGAAATCGAACTTACCCCTCGATCACCATCACCCCAATCCCAACCCACCCCCACAAATCTCACCATCCCCTAGAGCAAATTGTAGGACCAACTTTAATTTGTTCAACAAAACACCATCAAATCTTGATGTCATAATAATTAACATCCAAAACCAAGTCAAAATTAAAGAAGCATGGGATAATATAATGAGAAATTTACCTAAATAGCACTAAAACATAATGACTTTATCTAAATAGCATCACATATGTTTTTTTCTAGTATAGAACATTCAGTCATTATCCATTAGTCATTATTCAAGTAAATGTTTGCCATTACTGGTCATTATTTCTCTTTGTGGACATTATTAAATGTTATTTAGAGAATAAAACAATTTAAGTACTATTAAGGGAAACAACTCAAATTTTAGTGATATTTAGAGCAAATATTTCTAATATAATAACAAACCGGGAAATTGATATGAGTAGAAGGTCCCCAATACTTGATTGCCGCCAAATCGTATGCCCTCGCGGCCTTCTCTTCATTGTCATAACCCCCTAAAAACCCCACCATTTAAAACTCATTAGCGCGCTCCTACCGAGTAATCACTTACTCCCTCCCGTACTTAAATATTTGTCACACTTGTATTCCCGAAATAAAATATTAAGTTTTTTTTAAATTCATTTTATTTACATATTGATATAGAAATAAAAAATAAAATTTACATATGAAAAAGCTACATGAAAAGTTCTACGAAATAAGAGACGTTAAGAATATTTTATTTTATCAAATAACCAATGAAAACGTAGATATAAACAAAAGTTCCCGCGACTGCTGAAAAATTAAGTGTGGCAAATATTTTGGGACAGAAGGAGTACAAAATTATTCTCCCCGCTTCCTTGAATTTTTAAGTATTTTGAAAAACAGACAACTTTACCATTACACCTTTTTTGTTTCCCTTTTTAAATATTAAAACTTGTCAATAAAAAAATACTTCCTCCCTCCTAGAATATTTGTCCACTTTTAACTTTTTTAGTCAAAATTAGTAAACTTTGATCCCAAATTAAATAAAATGCTATTATATATTAATACAAAAACAGTTTTATTAAATTTATTATATACAATAATAACCTTGTCCAATTTGATTCGGGATAATCAAATAAGACAAATAATCTGAGACGAAAGAAGTACTTACTCCCTCCGTCCATACAAGATTGACACAGTTTGACATTTTTGGTCAAATTGTGATATTTTTTAATACGAATTAAATATAATTTATAATAATTAAATATTATAAAAAATTGATATTTCAAACTATATTTTAAAATAAAACGAATTTTACTAAATTTACATTAGAAGTAAATATACTTTTTTCATAGTTTGCAGTCAAAGAATGTCAAAGTTTAAACAAAGAAGTCAAACTGTGTCAATATTTTAGGGACGGAAAGAGTATTGGACTAAAAACCGAGAGTAATGCATGTTTAATTACCTAAATACACTGGAATCATTATTAGGCAGATAATTGCATCCCCAAGCGTGGTCAAGGAAACCAAACCAAGTAAGATAAATAATGTTAGTGATATTAAACATATACTCCTAAACTCCATCATTGATCCTTTAACTTTATCAGTTGTGCACGATTGTTCCTTCAAGTTTCAAAAGTCCATAAATAGTCCTTCAACTTTATGAGTTATGCGCGATTGGTCCTTCAAGTTTTAAAAGTGCATAAATAGTCCTTCAAATACACGTCAGCCTTCCAGATGAGGTCCTTTTGACAGTAAATGTTAAAAGCTAAATGGAATCCTAGCTCCATATAATACGGAGTAGTCATACCTAGTGGAATTTACTTGTATTATATGGAACTAGTATTTCGTTTAACTTTTAATATTTACTGTCAAAAGAACTTCATATGGAGGGCTGACGTGTACCTGAAAGACTACTTATGGACTTTTGAAACTTGAAGGACCAATGGTGCAGAACTCATAAAGTTGAAGGACTATTTATGGACTTTTGAAACTTGAAGGACCAATCGTGCACAACTGATAAAGTTGAAGGACCAATGGTAGATTTAGGCTATAGACTTTAAAAAGTAGATAATCCTAATCCCTAAATATCTCACCTTGCTTTCCCTTCCTGCTCTGCCCTTCCTTCATGCAACTATTATCCCATAAATGTGCTTCATATCTCCCTGTCCATCTGTGCCTGATGGCCATTAATGTCATTTCATCAACTCTCAAAGTCTATGCCATGTTAAGTGTGAATAAATTTAGTCCTTGTATATTTGGTTGAGTCAAATTTGTCTCTGTAACTAAAAAATGTAAATCAATTTATCTTAGCAGTGTTACGGAAAAGCTGACTTGTTAAGAGTATCCACATCAGAAAAGTATGATGAAAATAATCGGTATATAAGTTCTTGAGTTGAACTAACTAATTGATTGGATTCAATCTTTTAATGTGGTTCAGTCCAAGTATCTTATTGCTCAATCCAGTTGTCTATATCCCATCCTAAATTCTATGATCATGGCGCGCTAATTGACACACTTGATTCGTAGCAGCACATTAGCACATTCAGTGTTTTCGATAACACCGTTTAATTTAAGTTCTCTTAGTTTAACTTAATTCACACATTTTAAGTTATAGAGACCAAATCGGCTCGCGAATGCACCCATGATGACCAAAATGAGTATTCATTCTATCATAAATGGAAGCAAAAAAAAGTACTAGTAAAAGAGAGAATGGGCTCACAAACCTTGTGACACCTCTGTACTGTGAGGTTCTTTGGCCAAAGGTGTCAAGAGACTTCCTATGAACAATTTGTTTATTACTATTGGCCATAACCTCAAGCCCTCTCTTCTTGCTCCCACACTCTGAACCAGCAGCCAAGGTCTCTTGTTGTTGTTGACTTGGGCGCGACGACCCGTGGCTCATTGACAAGCTCAAAGCCCGAAAATCTCCGTAACCCGTCGCGCCATTATTCGGCGCCCATGATTCTCCTCCATCTTTGGACACTCTTGCATTATTATTATTATTGTTATTATTATTGTTATTGCAGAAACTCTTCATCCCAGCAGTTGGCATTTGGTAATCTTGGTAGTACATGTTGTCCAAGCTTAGGGCCATTCCTCCACTTCTTATGTCATAGTCATGGGCTCCCATTCCAATGAAGTCCTCCAGTTTTGGGGTTGCTGCAACCATACATTCACACAAAATTTTACAACCGAAAATCACATTTCGTGTAATTCGACTGGAAAAAGTGAAATTGGACGAATATGTAAGACGAAGGTAACAATTTATAATAAAGAAACACAATAGAAGAGATTTCGAAAACCTTGTGGTTGTGACCTGTTGAGGGCCTCCATTAGACAGAGGGAGCCATCAGATTTTAGGGGCATCACAGACAATGAAGAGAAGAAGGCTGCTGCTGTTGGTCTTGTTGGGGTTGTAGTTTGACCCTGCCCTACATAATAAGGGACAATAGGATAGTTCATATGAGAGGGAGGGGTGTGTGGGAATGAAGAAACAGGGGCATTACTAGGACCATGACCCTCCATTTGTGGGGATAGTGTGAATCCCAACCAGTTGTTGTTGTTGTTGCCATCATTACTTAGGGAGTTCATTCAAAATTGTGGGTGTGCAAAGATTTCTGGAAGGAAAAATAAAAATCTAAGGGAGTGTTTGGGAGTTATTAAAAAGTGGAACTAAGCTGTGGGGAAGAAGCAATGGCAGTCATTGTTTGGGTTTTTCTCTTTTATAAATGCTGGAGAGTATGTAGATACTGGAATCTAAAGGACTGTATTTGAAATTCCAAGGGGGAAAGGAACAAAATTTATGCAGTTCCCAAACAAGCACTTAAGCAGGGCCCTAAGCTCATAGAATACCAACATTGGGGGGGTTTAATGCCCAGAAAAAGAAAAGTACTGAAAAGGACATGGAATACTCCGTACCACCTCATTAGTCAATCTCATCATTTACTACTTTTAATCCGGTGTATCCACTAGCTTATACACTACCAACATTCGACTTTGATTGATTCTGATCTGATTGGAATAAGTTATGATCTGATCAGATATCTAGTGGGCGTCGCGAAGTTGCCAAAGACAAGGAGTGCCAACCTAGTTAGTAATATACAGCAAATGTGTAATACGTCAATACGTATTATATACGTGTATAATACGTTAGGATTTTATAAAATACGGCTTACTATGCATATTAAATGTTCGGCGTATAGACCGATACGGACACGTACGAGTTCTAAACGTTTTCTATTTTTAAAATACGTCTTATTATATGTTTATATATATTAACATATAAACGTCAAATCCACACATATCTATCGAATGATAGACATCAATTTATTTTAAGGTAAATAAACAAAATGCAAAATCTTTTTATAAAAAATATTTACAATAGAAATTTTCAAATTAAAATCTCTATACATAAAAAATATTTATTTGAAAAAATATATACTCCCTTCATAAAAAAATCATCCTTATTTGACTTTCACATACGTAGTTTAAGAGCATTCACAATGGCAAGGCAATGTCTTGCCTTGCTTAGACATGTCAGCAAATGTCACTCAAATAATGACATTCCATAGCCATTCCACCCCACTTTTCATTCAATGTGCAAGGCATGATTGACTCTCTCATTTTTATTTTTTTAAATATTTTTAATATTTTTAATTTTTGAAAAAAATATTTTTTAAAAAGAAGTAGACATATTTTAATAATAAAATAAATGTGTAAAATAATTTTTGATAAATTTACCCTTGGAGTATGATCACAAACTTTAAGAACCACAGAGTATATTCCAAATGATGTAGGGTCAGAGAGTTTTTACCAAAAAATCAAATATATACCTAAAAGTATAATTCAGATAATGTGAGATCTGTAAATAACAGCCACAAAATCGAAAATAGCCCGAAGTAATTTTCTAGCACATAATTTGTAAAAGAGGAGAATTAAGATGGGAGGAATTCTTGGGAAGGTGGGGAGAGGTGAGTACCAACTCCTTTTGATTGAAAGCATGATGAGTAAAAAAAACTCATAGGATAGGGGACCATATGCGCTTTTACCCAAACAAGTGCATGGCGTTATAAATTAAAAGGGGGTTTCGATCCCTCTATGCTTACCCCAATCCCATCAATATAATAATACTTCCCAATTCGCAAAACGAAGAAAAATTCCAAATTTTTTTAATCTATTTTATTTAAATATTGGTATAGAAATAAAAAATAAAACATACATATTTAAAAACTACATCAAAAGTTCAACAAAACAAGTGGTGACAAGAATATTTTATTTTATCATATAGGCCATGAAAAAGTACAAATAAATATAAATTCCCGTAAAGTTGGAATAGTACTCTGGGAAGATCATTATAGGACGGAGGGTGTAACAATATTGCTTTCCTTCTTTTCTTTTTTCTTTCATTCTTTCTTACCCATGCCCCCCAACCTGTCCTTCATTTTGTTTGTGGGAATCAGATTGGGACATTTACCCATACTTTGGCCCTGCAAGCCAAACTAGTATAGTATAGCTAGTAGGGCCTCCATTAATTACCCCGCCCTGGCCTCTTTTTTTTTTTTTTTTTTATTTTTTACTTTGCCTGCATGCATTTGCTTTTTATTTAAATCTCATTCATACATCTCTCTGTATATGTCTAGCTAGCTGGTCAAACATCCTTTTTCATTAATTAAATTGGGAATTGGTACCACTCCCTCCATTTATATTTTTCATGCCACCCTCTTTAATTAGTTTACTGTGTGTAAGATCTAGTGAAAGTTTTCAAAAATAATACACAACTTGCTACTTGCTAGTGAGATCTAGTGAAAGAAGTTTTCATAGATATTTTTTGTAATATTATTGTGTAATTTAGCCTGTGATGTTCTTGCTCCCGGTCCTCTCATTTTAGGATCTACCACCACTAATGACATGTTTATTCAACTTTATGTTATAGTTATTGTTAGATTATTTTTGTATCATCGACTATTTTGTATTTTTAGATTTACTTAGATCAAACAAGGATTTTAATAGACGTTATTAACGAGTTGGGATGATATAGATTGCACGCTCGTTCACCGATATTACAAATTTTGTATCGGGGTGCAAGAGGCAGAGCAACCGGTTGGAGTAAAGCTGCTGGTTTAGCTCGAAAAATTTTCATTTTGGACATAGTTGCCTTTTGAAAATCTTTTGAGTACTCGTTTTAGATTACCCTGAAATACCTTTAATGTAAAAGTGTTTATATGCAATTTGCTAAGTTTATTAAGTCGTTCTTCGTGTACCGATTCTCCTAACACTGCTGCGCAACGTTACTACCCCTCCAAAATTTCCTACAAAGTATGCCGAAGGAGAGTAGAATTTTGTGAGACGAGAATGTTAATAAGTTTTGCGGAATAAATAAAACTACAAAAATAAAGTGAAGTGTGGGAATTAAATAGCAAAAAAGAATACCATGTTTTTTATATTGGTTCACCATAATTTTGGCTAGTCTAGTCCTCAAGAGACTCTCTTGAAATTTCATTTCCTTGGTTTGGCTTACAAGTGCCAACAAACCATTACAAACGCTCGCAGGTGTATCTTCTTCAAGAGTTCACATCGCTCGAGCTTCTCCTGTAAGAATTGATAAGAGAGAAAATCTTTCTGTATATTCAATTGTTCTATCTAATTACAAGGAGTTTCTCCTTTATTTATAGGAGAGGATGATTCCAAAATAGACAAGGAATACAAATCCTACAAGGAAACTAATCAATAATCAAATTAGGAAATAAATCAAGATCAATCCTAATTAGAATGGGATTTGGTCATCATAGGAGTTGGATTTCTCGAGTTCGGATTTCTCGGAATTCGGATCTCTCGGAATTCGGATTTCTCGGAAGTTGGACTTCTCTGGATTCGGACTTCTCCGGATCCGGACTTCTCAGTTCCAATATCTCGCAACAAGACTTCAGACACTGCACCTCTCAACACTTAACGCACTAAAATTACTATATCTAAGTAAATCAGAATACAGACAAAAAGTTACTCCCTTCGTTCTAAAAAAGGGTTCCTAGTTTGACCAAGTAAAAAAATAAGGAAGCGTTACATTGTAGCTAACTTCCAATTTTACCCTTGATGTGATGGATAAAATTAAGAGGTAATGGATAGATTACTAGAGAAAAAGTATGATGTGATAGGTAGGGTTTGAAAAAGTAAGTGTAAACCGTAAAAGTGATTTTTAATGGAAAATGGAAGTGTTTTGTTGGAAGTGAAAAAAATGAAAGATGAAGTTTTTTTGAGAACGGAAGGAATATGATAAGGGTTGTTAGTAGTTGTGAGTTTGTTAATAGTGGTTACAAGGTTTGTTACAAGTTGTTAGTTGGTTAGCTGATGTGGCAAAGCATTTTTGAGTTGTATAAATACGTAGGGCTGTGCTGTAAAAACACAATAATGGTGAAATCAATCTTCTTCTTCTCTCTCTAAATATCTTCCCTGGTTCTTCCTGCCCAAAATATCTTTCCTTCTTCCCCAATCTTCTCAGACATTCATAGCAAGTTCAACTTGCTATATCAGTGGTATCAGAGCAGCGACCAGGGATAGCTTCCAATCTGACGTCTTCTAGATCGTATCATTGATCGACGACCATGGAAGCTCAGTTGAAGGTTATTGAAGGAAGATTCGCTAGTGTCGATGACAGATTCAAAGCCCAGGAACGCAAATTGGATGAACAGATGAACCAAATAATGATGCTCCTTAAGAATTTGGAGGCTAAGGTAAGTCAGGAGAATGAGCCTAACACCTCTACCAGCGGAGGTGATGGAGGCAATTCATAAGTTTCAATCTGAAACTAGAGTTCCCTAAATTTGATGGCAGCAACACGCGAATCTGGATTAAGAAAGCATGTAAGTACTTCGCCCTTTGTAAGATTCCTGATGAACAATGGGTGGACATTGCTAGTTTACATATGGTGGATAGGGCTGAAAATTGGGTTACTAGCTACATGTCTTTCAGAAAATATGTTGCTTGGCATGAATTCATCATTGATCTGAGTGCCAGATTTAGGGATGAAACAAGGAATAATGTGGTAGAACAATTTAAAAGGCTAGAACAGAAAGGATACTTGAAGCTTAGATTGATGATTTTGAGGATCTGAGGTCTGTGTTGAGTCAGAACAACCATTATCTTCCTGATTCTTTCGCTCTGGATTCTTTTATTGGTGGGTTGAAGCCTTCTGTTAAACTGTTTGTTAAAACATTTAAGCCTAGTAGTATAGCCCAAGCAATTGAATATGCTAGGCTAAAGGAGGAATCACTAGAAGTGGAGGGGTCAAGGTTTCCTAAATTCAGCCACTCTTACAAATAACAACAAACCTTCCTGGGAAAACTCCAAGGTCTTCACAAACAACTCATCAAAACCTGCTCTCTTGCCTACTCCCCAAATAAAACCTGCTAGTTTTCTAAAATATGTACCTTCCACCCACTCTGGCCCTAACAAGAATTTTAAATACATACCTGCTGATGTGAGGGCTGAGAAAATAGCCAAGGAATTGTGCTACTACTGTGATCAACCTTTTCACACGGGGCACAAGTGCAGTTTTTAGGAGCAAGAATTGTTTACAGTTGAAATCCCTGCTAAGGGAGCTCATCACAGTGAACAGGAGGAGTGCATAACTGAATATTTGGAGGATCAGTATAATGTAAGAGAGAGGGGAGAAAGTTCTGATGCTTGTATATCTTTACAAGCTCTTACTGGAGGACACAGCTACCAGACAATGAGGATAATGGGAATGGTTGGAAGGAGGCCCATCCATATATTGGTTGACTACAGTTAAGTGTCAGGAAATGTATTGTCTTAAACTAATTATAATTTAAGCATCAGGAAATGTATTGCTTTAAAACTAATTATAGTTTAAGCGTCAAGAAACTAATTGCTCTTTAAGAATCTGGTTATAGAAATATGGATTTGGCCTTAGTCTAAGAACCGCTAAGAACGTTGTTATGATCTGGCCTTAGACTAGGAATAGTTTAGGAGCGTTGTTATGATTTGGCCTTAGACAAAAAATAGCTAAGAGCGTTGTTATGATCTAGCCTTAGACTAAGAATAGCTAAGAGCGTTATTATCGATCATTGGCTTTAGATTAAAAATATGTTATGAACACTGTCAAAATAATGAATATTGATTATCTGAATTGAATAACATGTAATGATATGAATTAAACATTATCAAAATCATGAATGATGAATTTTGAATTGAACATTATGTACATGCACTACAAGAAAACTGCCGATCTGCCACGGACAATTTCCGTTGTAGAATTTGAAATTCTATGGTAGATTTAAATTCTGCGACGGACCTGCAACGAAATTCTTCCGTCGCAGAAAAGTTGTGGCAGATTTAAAATCTACAACGGAATTGAAAATCCGTGGCAGATCTACGACGGACCTGCAACGGGTTCGTCCATTTTTGCAACCCAAAGAATCTGCGACGGAAAGCTTCGAACCGTCGCAGATTTGCTATAGACATAGCGACGGAGATAGCCGTTGTAGATCTCCGACAAAATTAGCAACAGACTATTCCGTTGCAGACCACCTGATCACAGACACTAATTTTTGCTGTTTTTAGGCAGTAGCTATTAAAATGGGGGGCAAAACACATTCAATTTTCACACACATAATTCTAAACAATATTTCAATACGAAATAGATAATTCAAAACTAGATTAATGAAAACTTCACGTGCAAATGTTACATAATTCATAATATTGTAAAAACATTAAATATTAAAGTGTTAGCATCAAATGTCAAAGGTGTCAACAAATCCCGGGCTGCCCTGCCCCTCCCGTTCCATCATCATCGCCTCGTGGAGGAAGGGTACCACCATATAACTTCCTTATCTCCTCCTGAATCGTCAGCGACAAGCTCGAGGTTAGATTATCAATTTGTTCCTGCAGCCTTTGGTTTTGCTCTTTAAGTGCTACCATCTCCGCTGCGCTGCTACTACTAGTGCTGGAACGGCGAGGATTGGAAGACGGATTGACCTTCCTCATTTCCCGCTCGTAGTCACCAACTCTAGGAACATGGTTTTTTGCATTATGGCCCTCGAGTAGCGAGTACCATATTTCTTGGTCGGTGACTTTAAGCTCATTTTGTCTAGCCTCCTCACGCAGTTTGAAGAATTGGGCCTGTAATATATGATAGTTATTAACACACAATAACAACGTAACAATAATAGCGTCAAGAACAACAACACGAACAACATCAACAACAACACAAGAGCAGTGACATATGACAACAACAACACCATCAACGCTACAACAATAACAGTGTCATATGACAACAAGAACAACAACAACAACAACACAAGAACTTAACAACATTATCATGGATCGATAACAACGTAACATCTAGCTAGTGTTGACAGCACCATCAACGCAACAACAAAAGCAGTGTCATATGACAACAACAACACCATCAACGCAACAACAAAAATAGTGTCATACGACAACAACAACACCATCAACGTAACAATAATAATAACAACACGATTAAAAATAACATCAACAACAAGAATAACATCAACAAGAACAATTCAATTACACAAGAAAGCGAATACATTATCACCCTTTAGAAGTTTTAAGACAAAAACACCAACATTATGAGCATGAACCCAAACTGTTTTGCAAATTACAGAAAGTACCTGTAGCTCAGCATGTCCTGGATCCACCCAAGTCTTTCCGTCGTACTTCTTTGTCTTTGTGTGGATGATAACCTCATCCAACGGCACAGGCGCCCCTTTCTTCTTAGCCTTCAAGTTTCAATGAACATTTCCATTACATTTTAAACTTAGTGTCCACTGAATAACAAGTGCAAAGCTATTATTTTATAAAATATATCTTACCAATCGATTCATATTTTAAGAAAATGGAATTGAACCTCCACAATACGTCCCAAGAGCAGGACCATCCTCTCTTCCCTTTCTTCTGTTCTTCTTCTTCGTCTTACTCAACTCCAGAAACTCCGGATCCTCTTCCCAAACCTATAGTTGTATATTTCATAAACATTACTTGTACATAGCGATTTGTACGCATATGCTCTAAACAGAAGTTGATCATAATGAAATTCAAAATGGCTATGCTACAAACAGAAGTTGATACGATTTCGTAGGAAAACCATTACTAATTTACCTTCTTCAACTGCTCAAATGGCCGAGGGTCCATCTTCTTCTTCTTCAATCGAGTTGGGTTCCTTTGATTGTACGTATAACTCGCGTACCGTTCAACAGCTTTTTTGAGAAAAGCTTTCCTCAGCCTGCCCTCGTCGATTGACAGATCCACTCGAGCATTTTTCTACATTGACATCATAGAAAAGTCAATAACTTAGATTGTATTCACATATATTAATTTTCTTGTGATCGAAACAAGTTAAATAGTAATTTTTCCAAAAAAAACCTTGAACTCTCGAAAGTAGAACTCCTTTGTCGTCTCTGAGACTTTGCACCGCGAAATGCCAGCTGCGTCCGTCCTCTCGTAGAATGCCGGTTTGATGAGCCCAGCACCAGCTCTAGTGATTGTAACCCTACAAACATATATAAGTAGTGAACAAAAAATCGTTAGGTATTTGTAAATGTTTTATGTCATACCATAATCTTCAAATGTACTAGATTACTTACTCGTCATCCGAATTGACATACACGAACTGACCCTGATGACCGGGACCCTCGTGATATCCACCCTCTTGGTCCACATCATCGTGGACCTCGTCCTTGCCATCACGCGCCCCGCCACTGCATCCCTTGCCAACGCGGTCCTCGAAATCGTGGTCATCGCCAACTCCGTCCTCTTGATCCTCAATACTCTCCCCCACCCTAGATGCTATTAACACAATAACACAATAATACATGCATTAAAAACAGCTATTAACAATCTTAGACATTAAGTTTCAGTTTCGTGATAAATGAAACATCACTCTAATGGCTTATCTGTTGAAACTTCAACTATATTAGTCTCTAAGAGGAGAGCTGCATACTTGAGGTACAATGGCCAGATGGCGTAGTACGTGGGGTGGATGGGGACACCTGCGTGTCAGTGAATGGACTCGAGGTAATAGAGGGAGTGCATGTGGATGTAGTGGCTGTGCTCGATCCTTGGCGAGAAGAGGGTCTCCATCTATTAATGACGGACCTCCTCAAACGTGCTAACACCTCAGAATCAGTCGGCGTGGGGGGAGGGGGGTTCTCATTATCGCTCATCTGTACAGAAATAAAAATAATGTATAGTTAGCTCATAAAACAAAATAAAGTTCATATGGAGAAACATATATCAATCATTAAAAGTATAAGAAACATTTGGAAACATGTTTACTCGTCATTCTAATTTCACTCGCTCTCTGTTGAGTCTTGTCCTTCTTCTATTGAGTCATCGAAGCTTAAAATTGGTTCTTCATTCTCTTCTTCAGCGTTACCATCATCGTCGGTGAAATTAGCATCTCCCTCACGTGATAGAGTAATGATATCATCTTCTTATGTCACTTCCATGATTGTGGTTCTCTCGGTCGTCCCATTTGCTTGAAAAGGTTCCTGTTGCACCTTGTCTACTGATCCTAGTGTATTTTCTGCTTCAATCCAATTACCTCTAAGGTGAACCTGGCACACTGCAATCCAATCACTCTTAGTCTTTTGCGTGCAAGGGTATTCCACATACACAACCTGGTTTGCTTGTGACCTAAAAATAAAAGGCTCATATCGGTTATACTCTCCCTTCTTAAGCACCTCAAGTAAACCATACTTCTTGTGTATTCGTGTCCCGCAATTCAACCTCGGATCGAACCATCGACATTTAAACAAGACACGACGTTTAAGTGGCAAAGCTGGATACTCAATTTCAAGTATCTCCTCTAATACCCCAAAGTACTCGCCATATTTGCCTGTAATAGATACCCCACTGTTGTACACTGCACGCTTTGAACCATGTTTTATGTGTGGAAGTAGTAGCCGTTTACAAAGTATATTGGGTATGACTTGGCAAATGATAAGGGACCCTTGGCCACATCACTGATTATTTCCGGGACAGACCTATCATTCTCTACCTGAAGATGATGCAAAAAAGTCATTCACCATTAAGTTGTCCTCCGGAAGAATGTCTTTGATGTATTGACATATGGTGTCGTAACAACGCTCGGATAGATTATGCTCTGACTTAATATTCAACAAGCGCGCAACTGCAAACAATTGAGACGTCTTAGAACTGTAATACCCCGTATCAAGATGGGAATGGGAAGAGCTCAAAAGGATTGATAGTACTACTCATACCAACAAGGTGCATCTTCTGGAGCAATTCTAGGATGGGTGACTCCCTGGGAAGTTTTCCTTGGGCGCGCGGAAGAGCTTAGTTCACTTAGCGGGGAAGATCTATGGGTTCAAAAAAAAAGATGCAACGAGGACGTTGCATTCCTAAGAATCTTCTTTTCGAGAGCTCATCACCTAGAAACTCCAAAGTTAAGCGTGCTTGACCTGGAGCAATTCTAGGATGGGTGACCCCCTGGGAAGTTTTCCTTGGGCGCGCGGAAGAACTTAGTTCACCTAGCGGGGAAGATCTATGGGTTCAAAAAAAAAAAGGATGCAACGAGGACGTTGCATTCCTAAGTGGGGGTGAATGTAATACCCCGTATCAAGATGGGAATGGGAAGAGCTCAAAAGGATTGATAGTACTCTACTCATACCAACAAGGTGCATCTTCTTTTCGAGAGCTCATCACCTAGAAACTCCAAGGTTAAGCGTGCTTGACCTGGAGCAATTCTAGGATGGGTGACCCCCTGGGAAGTTTTCCTTGGGCGCGCACGAGTGAGGACAAAGTGTGCGGGAAAGACTTGTGTTGGTTTGTGGGGACAGTCTACAATCCTATGAGCGAACACTTACGGTCAGGGTGGGGGCCGAGGTGTTACAAGAACTCCCCGAACAAAGATCTGTATTAGCAGCTTTCAACATTTCGAAGAATTGCTTGTCTGTAGAATTCAGCTCTTCTTCAAGAACAGAGTTGATTCTAGTCGGGCCGACAACATCATAAACCATGTGTACATACTGTTCTCTACCGGGGACATGTGATACATCTGAGACATCAGCTTGACGAGGGACTTTACATCGTTGTGGAGGTACATAGTCACCATGATTCTCCTCGTGACATACCCAATCGAAATAATTGGGCGTGAATCCAAACCGCAAAATGTGCTCCAACATATTCTTTGATGAGCAAAACTTGATGTTCTTACATTTCTTGGAAGGACATCGCATTTTCTTGTTATCCAACCTATCTACATTGGGACTTGACTCACAGTACTCAACAAACTCAACCACGTTGTCCACCCATTCTTGACTAGAAACGCCTGATAATTAGGCAAACAACAATAATTAAACCAAGAATATCAACCACATTCATTACCAACAAACCATAGCTACAATAAAGTCTAACAAACGACAATCTTATTAAACCACAAACAACAATCATTTAACTACATATATCACAAAATTCAACTAAATTTTACTTAAATTCTCAATAAACGTCAAATTAACTAACACAATTTCAACAAAAATTACACCTTAAATGCTATCAATTTCACAAAAAATTAGTGCAATTTTTACCCAATTTCATGTCAATTTAAACTCATATTCACACAATTTCAACTAAATTTCACCAAAAATGCACTAAATTTCACACAAACAAATTCAATTTCACAAAAAATTACAATAATAATAATTTATATAAAATTAAACAAAAATACCTTGAAATTTCTGCCAAAGAGGAAGAGTAGGTCCGGTGGGGGAAGATGGCGGTCGAGACACTAGCGGCGGCAAGGGGTGTAGACACTAGCGGCGGCGGCGAGGAGGGAGGGAGACACTGGCAGCGGCAGCGAGGGGTGGAGACACTGGCGATCGAAGGCGAGGCGACAACGGTGGGAGATCAAGGAAAGCCATGGAGGAGAGGTGTCAGTCGAAGTTGGGTGGAAAGAAGACGGATGGGCTTTGGATCTGTGAACTGATTTCGTCTACAGATTGAAAAGAGGAGAACCTGATTTTAATTAATTATCTACGACGAAAATTAGTCCGTCGCAGATGTCGTCGCAGATATCATGAAATATTTACCACACCTTGTTCCGTCACAGATCAGCGACGGAAAAATACGTTCCGTTGCCAGTAGTGTTCCTTTTTCAGTAATTATTATTCTGTCGCAAATTCATTGCAGATCTGCTACAGATAAGTGTCCGTAGCAGACCAGATAAATTCTTGTAGTGATGCTATCAAATGATTTGATTTTGAATTGAGATTCAATTTATATGGATGTTCGATACATTAGTTATTCTTATTCAGCTTTAACGCTGAGCGTGTAGTATGGTTTATTTGCTACACGCAGGTAAAAAGTATGAAGACGCAGGCAGACGGAGGCGAGATAGTTGGGATGGATGTGATGGTTTGAATTGAATGACATAAATAAATTATGTTTTGTGATTATGATTTGTTAACCTTCCGCAACATTGAAAACTCTGTACTGTTTATGTCATGAAAAATATTATTGTGATAAATAAAAGTGTTTGAAATATTTTAAATTTTTACGATTACCAAGTTAATATTTTAGTCCGAAAAGGGCTTAGACCTGGACGGATTTGGGTGTTACAGGATAGGATCAATATTTAACTTCATCTTTAAGTTTTTTTACATGTTGTTAGTAGAAGAATTCAACTTTACCATAACAATTGGAACCGTGGGGATGTACAAGCTATTAGAGGTCGAAAATAGTTATTACTCTTGTACATAACTCATTTGAGGTTGCATGCGAAGCATTGAAATTATTAACTGATGATAAAAAATTTATTGAGAGTAAAAAGGATAGTTAACAATGTTATACATAAAAGAATATATTAATTCATGATAAAGATTTTATAATGAAGTAGTTGAGCTAGGATCTGGGAGTCATCTAATTATTAGTGATAAATACCACAAGTCATCTCCAAGTTGTTTGGGAAAATTATGGGAGCCCTTGACTGATGAGTTTTATTTGATCGAAGAAGAATATTGCATAATCAAGATATTTCTATAATAAGATAGTTTTATTATTTATATAAAAATTATTATGAATTGCATGGTACATATACAAAACTCTTGAATTGAGATATGGCTTAAAATATTATAGTCGTATTTTAACTATTTTTGTAGAACTTATTAATTTCCCAGAAGATCTAAACAATTTGTCTTTAGTTGAGATTGAAAAGTTACTTGATTCAAATGGCCGATCCTTAGAAGAGTTCAGTGTTATGTCATTCTCTATATTAAAACTAGCTATATATATATATATATATATATATATATATAATTTGGTTCAAATAAGAATGAAATCTAACGAAAGAAATAACCCCTTCATCTTGATCTCCAGCAATTCTCCTTCACACTTTTCGCAAGGGCATTTTCGATTTTTCATCCCAATTTCGTTCTTGCCTCATCAACAGCTCTTCTTCTCCCCAAAATCAGCGCACCATCTTCTCTGATTTCGTTCGCCGTTTTCCTTATCTACACATGCCACCTTCAATGTTTAGATCCCGTCATCGTAATAGAAGCAGTAGTTTCTCTCTCTATGAGTTGCGTCTAGGAAGTGTTCTTGTAATGCTATTCATACCCGACCTTCACCTTGCGATTCTCGATATTTTTGGAGCTCTGGAATCGACTTCAACATAGGCTTCCTCTTTGGATTTCAATTCGCTGCTCTTGGGGCCGGACTGGGCATGAATCGATGGTTAACCTCTCGCAGTTACTGTTCATCTTCGACTTTGAAGGTTTGAATCAACCTCAATTCAAGCTCAATTGAAGTCTAATTTGTGGGGAAGTTATTTTTGTTTGAATAATCCTTTGAATTGAGATAGAATTTAGATTCCCTAACACTGTTCACAGCAATGGGTTAGAGTCCATATTTCACAAGGTTTTTGCTTGTTTTTGTGCTTGTTTTGCTCCAATTTTCGTAGTAGAAGAGAACAACGATCCTGATCTTCTTTCCACTTTCTCATATTATCTTGCTCACAGTCTAATTTTTTAATTTTGTTATCTAATTTCTTCATAAACGATTACCAGTTGAATTTCCGAGTCAATCTTTTCCTTCCCATATTCATGTGTGTGTAATCCATGAGCCGCGTTTGCCCAATTTTCACCTGGATTCATATTAGATGTACACATTTTGAAGATTTTTTTTGTATTTACTGATTCATGGATTCTTTTTTCAGATATTCTAGGGATTTCCATTTGTTGCCATAATTAGAACTTATGTGTTTATCGGTAAGTTTTATAATTGATGATTTTATTCTCGGTTGTACATTTAAACGCATGATGATGCATTCTGAGATTGAAATGGTTGCCTACTGCCACCCAACTAGGAGAATTCCAGGTTTGACACATTTCTATACCCATTTTTATATTTGGTTCTTTCAATCTTATTTGTATATTTATATGCATGGTAATGCATTCTGTACACTTGTGAGGTAATGGTTCTTGTTTGTCACATTTGCGAGGGTGAAGTTTCTAGGAAAGATGATGCATTTAAATTTTTCCGTGATGCATCAGAGTATGAGATGGAGACATCACTATGGATCTTGATAGTGTATACTTCGTAGGAGTTAATTTTTTCAAATCTTGACTTATCATTGTGCTGCATTATGGGACACAGATGCAGTATTATTAATCTTGGTTGCACATTGACTAATAGATTTGTTAGAGTTAGAGATCCAATATAATTTGAAAATTGGATGCTTCCTTCTTTTTGTTTTCAAATGAATTTCAAAGTTTAACACCTCTATTGAGTCTCCCTTTGTGGTGGTCTAGATTGGTTTAGAAGAACAATGGTCCACCTTTTCCAAAGCCCCTTTTTATGTCTTCTTTTATGCTAGTCTGCATTGGACCACTGTGAAATTTTAAGATTTTCTTCTATTAGACATAGCATTGTAGAACACTAGTACTGCACTCCACTCCTTTGTATATTGCATTTACGTTGAGCACAACCCCTACCTCCAGTCACATTTCAAGGCATAGAAAAAAGAAAGTAAAACATTTGTGGAATGTGGTTATATTGTTATATTCTTGGAAATTGTTGGCCATGATAATGTTGATTGGACAATTTGGTATTCAATAGGGATGTACATTATTCTTTATTAGTTTTTTTCCTTTTTTTTACTTTGCTTTTTTCTATCATTGTGCATTATTGAATCAAGTTAATGCATTTATAAAAGAGGGCAATACATTTTCAAAATCAAGCTAAAGGATAATATAGAATCAAAATCAATGCATCTTGTGGAGAATTTCTGATGCATTTGTATACTGTACATAGTGATTTTTCACAAATGATGATGGACTTAAAATTTTCTGTAAAATTCTCATCTTAAAATCTATATTTAATAGGTCTATGTGCAAGTTGTGAGTCCCTATAAAAAAATTGGTGCTTATTAGCTCAAATGGTAGAGCAGTACGTACTACGATTGTATTATAACCGTAGTAGTACGTACTACGGTTGTACTATAGAATCAAAATTGATGCATCTTGTGGAGAATTTTTGATGCATTTGTATAATGTACATAGTGATTTTTCACAAATCATGATGCACTTAAAATTTTTTGTAAAATTCTCATCTTAAAATCTATATTTAATAGGTCTAAGTGCAAGTTGTGAGTCTCTTTAAAAAAAATTGGTGCCTATTAGCTCAAATGGTAGAAGAGTGGTACTACGGTTGTGGGTTCGAATCCCGCATAGACAAACTATTTCTCAAATTTGTATTATATTTATTCTGAATACAATACATTCTTAAGCTTTTTCACCTCACCTCAGGTGTCATTATTCACTAATCCACAAATTAATACAAAAATTAAATAAAATATAAAAGCAAGACACAGTGCTTATATCAGCTATCATGGTGCAATAACATTAAAAGGTCTTTATAAATTTTTAAGTTTTTACTTTAAAATGTGAGAAACTTATAATAAAATGTGATAATATAAAAAAAATCAAATATAGTTAACCAAAAAATGATAAAAATAACATGACAAGAAAGTATTCTTTATAAATTTGAAAAAAACCAAAGTAAATAAATAAATCTTTTCCACAGTGTGAAATGTATTAAAATAATGCATATGATGAATAAAGAGTTCAATAGAAAAAATATCTAATATTAATTTTTATTGAGGAAAAATGGAAAAAAAAAATTAAAAATGATAAAAACGTGACAACATATCCAAAAGAGAATTTAAGTCGAAGTCAAATGATATGGAAAGCATTACTTTTGGAAATGGATAGTTGCGTGTCATCCCTGACCATTTTAAATGCAATACGATTTTACAATATTGCCCCTATTACTCTTTGATTTTAATTCACAATCAATGAATTGATTTCCTTACCATATAATGTCTAGTGGTGCCGCGCGTCCATTTGTAGAAGGCTTCCATCCATTGATCGTTTGAGATCAATGAATCTCATTCATTCTTATTTCTTTCGTAGAGGATCATTCTTATGGGAACCAACCCCTATATATATATATACACACACACACACACACACACACACACACACACACACACACACACTACAAAAAAACGCGGAATTGGCACGGCTTTTTGGGCAGGACTGTAGTTTAAGTTTCCCGTGACTAAGGTATTAGGCACGGATTTAGGCACGGACACAAAACGCTACCAATTTCGAAGCTCCAAATTGTATGGCACGGAAATCTAGTCCGTGCCAAATATAGAGATGGTGTCACTCGTGACAAAATCATTCCAAACTGACGGTTATAAGAAAAACGTTAAAGATATTAGGCACGGATATGACCGTGTCAAAATTGTGTTCTTACAAATATAACATAAGTCTCGGATATATCCGTGCCTTTATTTTGAAAATTTTCAAAATATTCAAAAATTTTCAAAAAATTCAAATACGCAGGGAGATTAAATTTCCCGAAATTCAAATATTTTGCCACGGACATATCCGTGCCATGGATTTTAAAAAATAAAAGAAATATTTTTTGTCACTGATTTATCCGTGCCTTAGATTTCGAAAAATTAAAAAAAAAATTGAAAATAAAAAATTAATAATACATCACAGGCTGTAATTCAAATACGGGATAAATCACTCACAGCATAATAATGTAGATTAATAAAAAGTAATATCCATAATGAAAGTAATGTCTAGCATCCAAAAGAAGATCATCACAGACAAATGTTAATGATGAATAATTAAAGATTTTCATTGTTTAGAAAACTGTTAACACCACAGTTATTTGAATTATGTCCTTCCGGTTGAACGTTTGACATTTGGGGGAGGATCGTAGGTTGTTGAAAAACAGGCATGGGAGAAGGCAAAACCCGCGGGAATTAAAGGTGCTCCTCATGACTTTGTTTGTGCCCGCCGGCAAAACCCCGGGAAACCATGTGTAACGAAGCTATAAATGTAATAAAAAATAAATTAGTATTGTGTTTAGGACAGCTTGTTGGCTGGAAAAAAATTAAAAACCATACAAATAATATATGAGATAATAAAAAACAAAAAATTACCCCTTCAGTTTGGCCTTAGTGATTAAGCGCGGAAGATCCCCGTACGGCACCGCACTAGCCTCCGTTGAAACTCTGTCTCCTCCTTCGCCGCCTCCTCCGCCCTCGACCTCAGCCTCCAAGTCGCCACCGGCATTGAATATGGACTGCGGGGTAGTAGTAGATGGCGATTCCTGTGGTGCTCGAGAGTGAGAACGCTGAAAGCTTCCCCTACCGCGAATGCTACTGCGGAAGGAAGTACTCCTTGCTGAAGACATTGAAAGGAGAAGAGGTTATGAGGGAGGAGGGCGGAGGAGGGATGGCGGCGAAGAAAGAGATAAGAAGAGGAGAGTGGTTAATGAAAAAACAAGAAAAAACATGTAAGGGGTGGTAATATAATTAAACCGTACCGTGCAGTAAATATCGGATTCTTGGGTAATGGTGTAGGCACAACCGTTGCCGTGCCAAATTTCAATATCTCTGCGTGTGTCAGGCTTTTTGTGTGAGATCCATTCTAGGCACGACTTTTTCCGTGCCTAATAGAGGACATTAAATACGACAGTTTTTGGTAATTGCATAGGCACGGCCCTGTCCGTGCCAAACAAAATGAACTCTTTGTTTGTAAGGGTGCATTAATAGCATGTCATAAAACGAATTTATTGGGCTTGTATGTAGGCACGACGGTTTTCGTGCCAAACTAAATGCCTGTGCAAGTGTGTCAGGCTTTTGTCTAGGATCAAAATTAGGCACGGCTATTTCCATGACAAAACAATCTTGTCCTTTTCGATTTTGAATTTTATGAGAAAGGTAGGGAATTGGAACAACTAAATCCGTGCTTATTGGTTAGAATAAATGTCGTCCGACAACACCGTTAATGTCTTAACGTTTACGCTATTGGCACGACATTTGGCACGGAAAAATGCTAAGCCAAAGTGAAACGCAAATAGAAACACGCCATGTGGCTACTTTCTTTTTTCGGGGTAGTCACGGCATGTCCGTGCCTAATATTCCGTGCTAATTCCGAGAGTTTTTTGTAGTGATATATATATATATACACACACACACACACACACATACATACATACATATATACACACACACATATATATGTGTGTGTGTGTGTGTGTATGTGTGTATGTGTGTATGCATGTATGTATGTGTGTGTATTAATGGTGAAAGTCTTGTATTGAAAACCATGAAAATCAAACGGAAATAGTCAAAGAAAACAGGAGTATTACACTAATATAAACAAGTATAGACAATTATTACTCATTTGTCTCATATATTTCTTCTCATTTTGACTTTTATGGTCAAATTTTTTAAATTTTGAGAACAAATTACGAGAAAACTATATTAAACCATGATATAAATTTAATTCCAATAAAATTCATTTCGAAAAATAGTTTTGAAATTTCATACTCTATATCTTTATAATATATATTTTATATAAATAGAGATATTAATATTAAAAATGTAATGTTTAAGATCGTGAAAAATAAAAAAGTAAGAAAGATATGAGACAAAAGAAATACGTAGTATATGATAAAAAAGAGTATGTAGAATACTACTACATCTTTTCTCGGGGTATTAAACCATTTATTTCTGAATTGAGAAAATAATATTTTAAACGCATTTGTCTTAGAGAATTTTACAAATTAAATAAGACAATAATAATACTTGAGGAGACTTACTTGATGAGCTTTCCTCTACCACTAACCGCGTTACTAATAATGACTTCATACCGGAGTACTTTTTCGGTCATTCTTCTCACTTTAACTATTTAAACAATTGACTAAAAATTATAAAAATATACTCCTTTATTATTAATTTGATTACAAATTGAGAGTTACGAGCAAAATATTTTATCTTTTGAAATAATTTTATTTAGAATTTGATATATAATGAGAAATAAAAATTATATATTAATAATTTACGTCAAAAGTTCAACAAAATGAGATGTGATGACAAAAATAATTTAATTTATCAAAAAATTCAATGAAAACAAAAAAAAAAAGTTATCAAGAGGAGAGAAAAAAAGATTGTAATCTAATTCTGGACGAAGCGAGTAAAAGTATTGCACTAATATAATAAAAGTATATATATACAATTATTACTCATTTCGTCTCATATATTTCCTCTCATTTTGGCTTTTATGGTAATTTTTTTAAACTTTGATTACAAATTCCTAAAAACTATATTAAAGCATGATATAAATTTAATTCCAATAGATTTATTTCAAAACAATGTTTTCAAATATCATACACTACATTTTTAAAATCTATATTAATGTATAAATAGGAATATTAATATTTAAACTTAAGATCGTGAAAAGTCAAAAAGTAAGAAAGATATGGGACGAAGGGAGTATATAATGTTAGACAAATGTGCAACTCCAGAGGGAGGGGGTGAATAGAGTTGTTTTCATCAAGAATATGCGTTTTTCGCTTGTGTGAAATAATAAAATCGCAGGAATAAATAAAGAGAGTAAGGGAAAGAAGAACACCGATATTTATACTGGTTCACCACCTCGTGGCTAGTCCAGTCCTCCGAGAGACTCTCTCGAAAGTCCTACTAATCTTCAAGCTTCAACGGGTGCTTGAAAAACCGGTACAACTTGAAAACTTGAATCACACAAGCCTCACTTTCTTACAACAACAAGACCTGAGTCACACAACTCTTTAGAACAACACTCAAATGAGATTGAGTTTACAACACAAGAATGAAAGCTCACACAATTGAGCAAAGTAGTGTTGAAGGATTAAAGCTCTATGGATGACAACTTCTTTAGCACTCAAAAAAATATTTCTAACTCTCAAAAATAATATGTGATGAGCAAGATAAAGCAAGGAATGAATATAGCTCAAAGGGTATATTAGAGTGCAAGAGTAGTGTATAGAAATGAAGGAGAATAAGGGATTAAATAGGCTGAGGATAAAAGATCCGTTGGAGCAGATTGAGAATAGACACCAGACAATATTAATCGATTAAGGTAAAGCCTTTAATCGATTAAGGTGTACAGAAGCGAAAAGGTCTTCTGCGCAGGGTGCAAATTAATCGATTAAATTTGACAAAATAATCGATTAGATGGCACTATCTCAACTAATCGATTAAATGAAGAATAAAAATCGATTAAACTAAAAGCCTGAGAAATCCAACACTAAGGAGCTGGATCTAATCGATTAAAAAGAAACTGTTAATCGATTAAATAGAGAATAATGCGCAAAACACAAAGGCCCAAGGCCAGTTGCGATAAGAAGTGAATTGGCTTATATTCGTTTGTTTGAGACAAGAACGCTCCTCAAGAGAAAGTATCCCTTATTCAATGAATTTGAATAGAGGAGAAAAAGTGAGTCCAAAAATTATTTTGTGTATCAAATGATGTACACGAAAAATATTTAAAGTATATTTTTCTTACCACAAATTTTTTTTGTGTATTCTTAAAAAATGTTTTTAAGAAATTTTGACACATTTATCTTGAAACTGACTCAGTAAAATATTTTTAGATAGATGAAAAGTAATATTTCAACTGACTCAGAAAATAATAATTTTTATCCCTCAAAAAAATAATTTGTTTGTGCAGAAAGTATTGTCATCCTTACAAAGATTCCTAGACTCAATTAAAAGAAATCTTCGGAGTCTTCACTTCACTTCAAAAACTTCTGCGTAGGGGTAAGCCTTGATTTTATCTTGATACGCCTTTTTGCTTTTCTCGATACGAAAATAAATTTTCGATCAGCTTGAATTTAATTATCCTGTTTGTCATTCATTAAAACAAAAAAAATATTCCAGAAAAAATAGTAAAGGGGTTTGAACTCATGTCCAACATATAATACTTCTCCTGTTCCTAAGTATTAATATTTGTCCATTTTTTACTCTTTTCAGTCAACCATTTTCAAATATTGACTTATATTTAAATAAAATATATATTATACTTTAATTAGATAAAATAATATTTTTAAAATATTTAATATAATAAATCTAATAAAACTATTTTTGTATGAATATCTAATATCATTTTTATTTAATTTAAGATCAAAATTTACCAATTTTAACCGGAAAGATTCAAAAGTGGACAATTACCCAAGGACAAGGGAATACTCCGTAAAGAAGTATAAAGAATACTTCATCCATCTTCGTATATTTGTCTACTTTGACTTTTTCGATTCATATTATATATCAGGTGTAATGAAATGAAATTCGGAAAGTTTTCAAAAGATAAAGGTAATAAAAGTCATTTTTATACTGCACAATTTCATCCCCTTTAATTTTTTGAAAGAGTCAAAACTACACATGTAGGATCTCAAGGAGTCTAGTCAAATGTTTCACATTCACAGCCCGTAAGACCTGCAAACAAATATGTGAAATTTGTACTAAATAGTACTAAAACAGATGTCATTTCCAATGTATTATTTAAACTTTTTTATTTTTTTTAAATAATATTTGAATAATGTATAGTAACGAGAACAATAATATCCAGTGATGGTGGACATTTAGTTTGAACACTGTCCAGTGGTGATGAATATTTATTTGAACATTAACTAGTGATACTACATTGGAAAATAAAAACATATGGTACTACAATGTAAAAGTCATTATTTTTTGTATTATTATTTAGCTAAATTCTTCCAACAAATATGCCCTTCCTCTATCTTCGGCTTTCCCTGCATATATATACGCACGTAGAAGAGTGCTCTCATCAAGAAAAAGAAAAGAAAAAGCAGCAAAGCCAAATAAAACAAATACTAATTTTTTTTAAAAAAAAAATCAAAGCAAAGTAAGGCAATTAGCTAAGATAATTCATAGATTATTCGTATATACAGTCTTTCGAGCTTCTTTACCCAAGCATCCCCCGCCCATACCCGCAAACGCGGGCGTTATAAGGAGACCTAGGGGCACAACCATCGGATGCCGTAAACCGATCCGTATCCGTTGGGTACCCGCTCAACACAGTTGGAGGCGCGGGAGTTTCTTACCAAAGAGACCGAACCGTAAAACTACGATTAATCTGGCCTGGTTTCCTCTGTAGTTTGCTGCTTTATGTCGTGCGCTGAAGGGGGCGGCTCATCAGATGATGATGCTTATACTACTGCTGGAATATACCTTTTTTGTGGGATTGTTTTGGACCTCGTGTGCCTAAGCTTTGCCATTTACGTGTCCGTCCTCACCAAGTACTCGGGCTCACCCCACCTGGCTGGACCAGGTCGGGCTTACCCCGAATACCGTTTCAACCACTTTAACCCTACTCTTCGGAGCAAGGTTAGCAACCCTTATAAGTGGGGTACTATCATAACTTGCCTCGCTCCTTCCGATGCCTGTCTTGCCTTGAACACGACTTACCCCACGCCTCCGCAACTCTTCAATGCACCACTCTCCCCATTGCACGTTTTATTTGCAATCACATCAGTCTAATAACAAAATTCATGAATTGTTTTTAAGTGCTTAAATATTTATTTTTCATATTACACCACTGCTCCCTAAATTATTTTTTTGTATTTATCTGATCCATACTCTTTTTAATTGGTACGTTATTGGCTTTTTTTCATACCAAGTCCCCTGAAATTGTTGTAATAATTGACGTTATATCATACATTTTTGAACAACTTGTGTGCGTGTTAGTTGCTCAAACAATTCGTTCCGCGGACTTGATCTGAAAGATGCCACCAAAGAGACTACTAGCACTTCTGTTAGAAAGTGTATATGGTCCTGATAGGTACTTAAAATAATTTTGCATGTTAGATAATTTTGTTAGAAAATCCAAATCTGTTGCAGTTTGGATGTTGCATGCCACCAGCAGAGTGTGGATTCAATTTTGTAAGCCCCACGACTTGGACATCTCCAACAAACACTACTCAAACAAA